ACTAAAAGAAACCCACCCAAACCACAAAGGGAATAAAATTATTAATAGCATTATAGTAATATTTCAGCAACCCATGGCCTATATTCCTTACGGGGGAGTCTGTTAGCCTGATATTTTCCAGGACTTTTCTTGGCTCCGATCTACCTAGAGTCTGGCACACAATATGGGAACAAAGAAACCTTGCTCTTAGCTTCCATCACATAATTAAGAGTGTAGCTTCTGGAAGTATTCAGCCTATCCAGCTCTTTGGCCAGATTGGGGTGTGTGTGTGTGTGTGTGTGTGTGTGTTGGGGGTGGGGTGGGGTGGGGTAGAGAAACACTATACTAAAACTTGGAGTAAACAATTTTCTTCTTTAAAATCCATACTACTCTAAATTATTGTTATTACATTATCTTTTATCGGGACATAGTCATTATTATTATTCTTGGGCTCAATAGCATTGTAATTTCCCAAGTTCAAATTGGCTGCAGACAGTTTCTAGCTGTATGTCCCTAAGCAAGTTGATTTCTCAGCCTCATTCTCCTCATCTCTAAAATGGGGACAATAATAACACCTATCTCATATCATTGTGAGGATAATGAGATAAAATATGTAAGATGCTTCGTAAACCTTAAAGTGCTACATAAATGCTGGTCATTATAATCATTATTATTGTTAGCATAAGATCTTAGATTTAGAGCTGGAAGGGACCTTAAAAGCCATCTGGTCCAACCACGGCATCTTACAGATGAGGAAACTGAGGCCCAGAAAGGTTCAATGATTCGCCAGGCAGTAGGTCATCCTAGAAGAGTCAGGATTCAAACCTAGCTTTTGTTTCCAAACCCATCTACCTCCAGCCACAGGATTCTGCTATTTCTCTGCAGTGGTATTCAACCTGAATATTATGGTACACGTATCTATCCTTTGGGGCAGCTAGGTGGTACAGTAGATAGAATGCCAGCTCTGGGGTTAAGAAGTTCCAGTTTAGTCGTTTCTCAGTTGTGTACAGTTCTTCATAACCCCATTTGGGGTTTTTGTAGCAAAGATACTGGAGTGGTTGACCATTTCCCTCTCTAGCTCATTTTATAGATGAGGAAACTGAGGCAGACAGGGTTAAGTGACTTGCCCAGGGACACACAGCTAGTGTCTAAGGCCAGATTGGAACTCAGGAAGAGGAGTCTTCCTGACTCCAGACCCAGTGCTCTGTCCACTGTACTACTGAGATGCCCTATGCCTGATGCATAGTAGATGCTTAATAAATGTTCACTGACTTTAAAGGATAGGTTGAATTTCTGTCTCTTGAAGCAGGTAGATCCAGGCATTGAGACTAAAAAACTCAAGTAACCTGGGGGCTAAGACTAGGAGTTGGGAGATGTGAGATCTGAGATCTGAGGGCCTAGGACCTGGATAGCCTCTGAGGCTCTCATTTCTGACATTTGGGAGAAAATGCCTGAGAAAAGCTAGTTTGACTTTAGTGATGGCTTTAAGAAGGGCAGCTAAGTGATGCAGTTGATAGAGTGCTGGGCCTGGAGTCAGAAAACCTGAGTTCAAATTTGGTCTTAGACACTTACTAGGTATGACCTTGGGCAAGTCACTTTACCCTGTTTGCCTCAGTTTCCTCATTTATAAAATAAGCTAGAGAAGAAAATGGCAAACCATTGCAGTATCTCTGCCAAGAAAACCCCAAATAGGATCACAAAGAGTTGGACACAACTCAACAACAACGAAATGCTTTTAAATGGATTTGTATTTTATTAATCACTATAGCATTTCCATATTATTAATCACCATAGCATAGCATTTTATTAAGCACCATAGCATTGAAAAGTAGTAATATGATTTATTCTGTCGTTGGCATTGGGTTGGGAAGGTGCATAGGAGCACAGATTTAGAATAGCTTTGCTATCCTTTGGTCTCTCTCTCCCCCCGATTCCCCTGTTCCTCTCCTTGTTCTGTGCTTCTGTAAGCCTGGCTCCAGAAACCATTTTTGTTCTCTGTCCATAAACCCATGAAATTAGAGCAGAAGGCTTCCTAGCAATCACAGGATCGTGACTTTTGAATTAGAAGGGACCTTTGATGCCATCTAGCTTAATACCCTCATTTTTTTAAAATGGAGAAACTGAGGTCCAGAGAGAGGATGGGACTTACTCCAGATCATGCAGCTAATAGGCGTCAGGTGAGGTATTTGAACCTAGGTCCTTTGATTCTAAATTCAGTACTCTTTCTACTGTGCTATGCCTTGTGGGAACTTTCTTCCTTGCACCTCTATTTATGTAGAAAAACCCTCTTATACTTTCCTATCTTTTTGTCTTTGTACCCCTTCATTCTTTCCTACTGTTCGTCTTATGACTTATCTCTAACATATTTTGGATATAAATTATTTCTTTTTAAAAAATTTAATCTACATTATTTTTTCAGTTAATTAACATTTATTAAGCACCCACTATGTTCCTCGCACTATGCTAGGTGCTTGTTGTTGTTTGTCCTTTGTGCTCGAAGAGGACCACGACATCAGGAAGGTGATGCCACCACTTGTAAGAGAATTGGGTTTAAGTCTGTGCAAAGTCACCAGCCTCACTTTCTCCTCTGGAGCCATCTGGGTCCATTGGCGACATATAGATCAGGACGACTGGGGATGGCCCTGGATACAGTGGGAGACCTCAGCCTTTTGAAGCTAAGGTCTTTCCCAGGTCACAGTTTGAGGCAATGCCCATTCAGTGATTAAGGCTAGGTAAGAAAGGAGGCAGAGAATGGCCTTTATTACCTAGTCAAAAAAAAAAATAGATCTGGGAGGACAAGACCCTCAGGGTTTCTGACCAAAAGAAAACTAATTCCTATTTACATTCACTCTGAGCCAATCAAGGCCCAAATAATGACCAAATGGGGCTTGGCCTGGGACCTACTGTTGACCAATCAGAGAACCAGCCTGAGGGATCCAAAGAAAGAACAAAGAGATCCATTCCCTCACAATCTAACGGAGGAGACAACATGCAAATAAGTACATGTAGGCAAGCTATATATAGAACAAATGGGAAATGCAAAGGGACAAATGTATCTAAAATAAAGTTTCACCACTGCCTCCAGTTCATTCTTATTACAATAGGAATTGCTCAGTGGCTGTGTAACCTTGCAAAGAGGGCCTGTGTTAGAGCAAACAGTGCAGGAAGTGAAACTAAGTAAACCATGATTAAGGGAAAGCCTTCACCAGCTTTCTGCCTCAAAAGATTGCCTTCGATTTTCAGACTTGACAGTCTTCTGAAATGTTCTATGGCTCTCCCTCATGGAAGTCCTTAGAAACTACAATATATCAAATAGGGGCCATGGCTCACCTGTTGCTGAAATCCATCCATGGAACAAGGCTTTGAAATTTTCAAAGTATTAGTCAGAGATTCTTTACGCAATGTGTAGATTATTTGCACCCCTTGGTTATCCTTTATGGAAATGAATGTGGTGTAAAAATAAAAGGTATTAATCACTGAAAATAAGATAAAGTTGAAAACAGATATATCCCTTGCAGTAGTTCTTCCTGTTGAAATCATTGATCTAGGGGTTCTCTCTAGTTCATTAGCATAATTTTGCTATTCTCCTCTCTTTAGTCTACGCTTCTTTATGCCTATGCCCTTAACCATTTTTGTTCCCATGCTCATGCAATTAGAACCAGAAGTCTTCTTGATCACAGAATCATAGCCTTTGAGCTGAAAGGGAGCTTTGATGGCATCTAGATCAACCCTCTTTTACTTAGGGGGAAACTGAGGTCCAGAAAGAGGATGGGACTTACTCTAGACCATGCAACTAATAAGTAGCAGGCAAAGTATTTGAATCTCACTTAATTTCTCCAAGTCTTAATTTCTTCATCTGTAAAATGGAAATAATAAGATTTACAAAGTCTTCTTAACAGGATTGTTGTAAGGAAAATATTTTTGAAAGTTAAAGTGCTATAGAAATTAATACTACTGTCATTTTTTTCCAGGAAAAGCACAGCTATTTATTTCTTCCACATAGATTAAATGCTAAAAACACAAGAATAGAAATTATGCATGGACAAGGATGTAAAACATGAGACAGTAAGTTCTAATTCCTGTTTTACTTTCCCAAAAGATTGATACATAAAATTTCAAAGCATATAACATTTTATAGACATGCTGAATAGCCATTTTACCTTTACCTTGGCTTTGCATCTTCCAATTCACTCAGTAGTATTTTGTCACTTCAAGCCATGGCTTAGGCTCGTCCTCCTGACTGGGGTTAACTTTTCTGAGAAGAGCCACAATGGATCTAGAAAGCACTTTCCATAGAGTAGCCAGTATCTTCTGAAGGACCCAGAAGCCCCTTCTCCACCTGTCAAATACACAAGGATGGAAATGTCAACCTCTGGCTTGGCATAAAGGTACCTATGCTCAGTAAAGAAACATAAAGTAGAAGGAATATCTAGGACTTTGAGATACAGTCCCAAGTTCACCTAGGTCAGTACATGGGCTAGCTGCCATATGTGAGCAGCTCACCATTTTTGGCAGGTTAAGGGAAATGACTCTCCCTTATCCCTCAGGAAAGTCCAAAGATAGATGTGGCACCCCTTTCTAGGAGAGAGGAAAGAAAAGAGTTTTATCTCTGTCTTTTTATGTGTTTGTGGTTTGTCTTCCTAACTAAACCCCTTGAGGGCAGGAACCTTAACTTATTATTCTTTGTATTCACTAGAGCACCTAACATACCTAGGGCACATAACCTAGCACGTGATAGGTGCTCAATAAATATTCTTTGATTGATTGATCAGTTATGTTCCTATAGTGACTCACAGAACTTGAAGGGGCTAGCTTTGGTTGGACTCTTCCACCAAAGAAGTTAGGCAAATTCTAGTTCTTGCCCCCTAAAATTTTCTGGGGCTCAGTTTTCATTTCTGTAAAATTATGGGGGTTGAGTTACGTAATTCTTAATGTCTCTTTCCACCTCTAACATTATATGATTCCACCTGTGGACTAGGATTCCGGTGATTGTTGATGTCTTTTGTGATGTCACTAAGACCATCTGAGGTTGTCTGATCCTAGGGCTTTATCCAATACCAGAAAGGCAAGGTCAGCCACTGAAATATAGTCATAGCATTTGTTTGGGCCCCAAGAGACAGCAGTGCGTGACCCAAGGGAGAATCACGTTTGGCATCTTATACTATACATTCCCCTAATGTCTACTCTCCACCCTATTTGGAAGTTACTTTGACCACAAAATAGAATTTCAAGCCAAGCGGTCACCTTAACTGTAAGTGAGGTCAGGGTGGTGGAGAGGGTTGGGCAGAGATATTGGGGAAATAACCCTCCATCCCCTCTCACTTCCATGCCATGTATATGTATTATAATTTATCTGTGATCTCATTGATACTACTTACAATGGTACATCCACATTTCACCTGCTTTTCCATACCCTTCTATAAATCATGGGGTCATAGACTTAGATCTGGAAGTGATCTTAGGGGTCACTTAGTCCAATCCTCATTTTACCATTGAGGAAAATGAGGCTCTTAGAGGTGAAGTAAATTGTCCAAGGTCACACAGGAAGTAAGCTGCAGTACTAGGAATCAAACTTAGGTTCTCTGGCTCCAAATCCAGGGCTCTTTTCTCTTTATTACAGAGGACCTGTCCAACATGCTAATAGCTTTTCTCTAGGCCTTTAGCTTTCTTAGGGCAACATGCTACCATCCTTTTCTAATCATACAATTTCTGGATGCTGTGCCTGATGCAATTTCTCTAAGTCCTTGCTATTAATACTCTAGCCAACCAACACCCAACACCCACTATGTGTCTTCCTATTATTCTTTGGGTCACCCCCAATTCTAAGATGGTGATAATTCTTGATTCATATTCACAATGTGATACAATCTTGTCTGAGGGTCACCAGCACCCTGAATTCAACAAAGGTCTTAGGATCTCACCTGTGTGTGTATGAATATGTGTGTGTGTATCCACTTACGCACATATAAATGTATGAACGCTTGCATATTTGGACTGAATCATGGAAGCTGATACTAGCTATCCAAGAGACTGGATTCCCAAGACCTTTGCTGAATTCAGGGTACTGTTGGCTATTACACAAGGTGACATCACCTCAGAAGACAACTAGACCTTTGCCTTTGGGCTCATATGAATTTTTGCATTTTTAGTTTTTGCACAGAACACGTCCTGTATGTTATCAGAAGGTCACAACTGTGGTGTTAAAATTATTATTAGGGATTTCCGGTTGAAAACTGGAAGACTGGTGGTTGAATGAAAACTGGAATGTATGGCAGTTGAAAACACTGGTTCAAAAGCAAAATAACTTGTTTTTACTTTCCCAGGCACATTCTGATTTTTGCTGCTAAATGTATGTACACTTTTAACAAAGATTCTATAAAGCTTTAGATTTCTTAAAAATTGTTGGAGGTGCTTCTATTTACTTTACAAAAAATTATTGTAGAATTCATAATAATGCATAAGAAATTGATTGAATCATCTTCATTGGAAAACTACTTCTTTTCACATAGGTGAAAAATGACTGGTACTCATAAAAGTAGGTAGAATTAGCACATATGAATGTGTGTCTCAGAAAAGCATTGCCGTTGAGCTGGGCATTGAGTCAGAATTGAGTCAGAAGAAGAGGCTGAGCTTAATGCATTTGGAAATTGCATAGTACTTTCACAGGGCCATAGATATAGAGGTGGGTACCGTAGGTCATTTAATGTAAACTTACTTTATAGGTGAATCCTAAGGAGGCTAAGTTACTCTTACATGGACAAGTCATTTAAGCTCTCAAAGCTCCAGGTAATTCTCTAAGGTGGAAATATTTCCATACTGATTAAAAACAACAACAACAAACTTCAGTTCACAAACCTTCAGTTTATTAGAAAGGAAGCAGATCACCAAGCATGACCTTTTTATTTCCACCCCACACCTTTTTTTTCCTCCGTATTTCATTTATCTCTGTATTTCCCCACCCATGGAAGAGGATTTGTATTAGAGTATTTTAATTAGAAAAATTGGTTCTGAATAAATATTGAGGACTTCCCATTTTGAAAGGCATAGAAGTGCTAAAGAATTGCAAAAGTTATATTCAGTATTCCAGATAATCTGGGAAAAGAAGTACATAAGAAACATTTCTAGTATTACTTTAGTCCCTGCCAAAGAAAACAAACAAACAAACCCCAAAACCCCACCACATTTCAAAACATTAGTATGGGCATTCTAACAAGTCATATTAAAGACTTTACCTCTTTAGTTAAAAAAAGAAAGGATACCAAAAATACTTTGAACTTTTTCAAGAATTTAAGATCATTCTTGCGAGCATTAATTATTTTCTTGTGCTATAATACATTTATATCCCTCAGAGACTATCAAGGTATGGAGAGCAATTTGTCCTTTCACTAAATGGCCCCAGACTATCCGTAGTTCTTGGGTCTCTTTGTGATGATTTTGTGTGTCTACTTTTGCTGTCAGCTTTTGCTTCTTTGCTGGTGTCCATATGTTTGCCTCTGGCAGTTCCATTTCCCCCTTCTCCTTCTAATTTGCTGCTTTAAATATGCCATGAGTTAGAGAATTTTAAGTGGCAGATAATAAAGCTAGAATTTAAAGGAATGGGTAGAATGGAATGAAGACTAGGGGAGCCTGGCGTTTATTTAGTGAAAAGGGTAGGGTGGAGGGAAAACAGGGCAAGACCAGGTCAGAAGATATGAAGGTAATTATGGTGGAAAAGGAAAGAAACAAAATTTAGTGGTAAAATTGAAAGAGGATGACTGCAATTTACCAAGAAAGAGATATTTGGAATAAAAGTTTGGTATCATTGAAACTGTAACATCCTCTGATTTCGCATTTAGTTTCCCAAAGGGATGTTGGAAGTCTTCAATAAAATAAGAGAACTAAGATGTGAATTCTATGTATTCTTGGTCTTCTCATTCAAGTCTCAATTAGGTTACAAAAATAGTTAAAGGTTGGGTATTGGCAACACATTTCTTAAAGTCTTCTTGCCCCTCAAAATTCCATACTGTTCATAGCTCAGACAATTTCAATTCAATTACTATGTGCAAGGTATTACACTAATCATCTTTGATCACTAGACATTTATCAGCAGAAATTATGGAACCAGGCAAAGGATCTCTTGGGGAAATCCAGTATGGGTGTTCCTTCACCAAAACAGACTACAATTTGTCTGTGATTTAATAGATTAGCCCTAGGGAGTTCCCTGAGGAACACAGAGTCCAGCACACTATCCACTGTGCCAAGCTTCTTCCTTAACAGAATTTAAGAGCAGAAAGTGTGTTTGAAAATTATTTCTTGGATATCTGTGAACCTCCAGAGAAATTTCAGGAAGCTTGGAGGCTCTTGAACAGCAAAAGATCAATTGAAATCCAAAGAAATATTCCATTTTCTGAAAGAATCTCTATTCTCTAGAGCTAACTTCTTTAACAGAATAGTAATGAGCCAACAGCGCTGCCTTGCACCTTTAATGAGGACTAAGGAGTAGTGTCTCTTGCATCCTCTGTGAGATTTGGCTATTATATCTTTAAGGCATGGATTTTGTCATGTAGGCTCATTAAAGGAATGAAGTATCTTGTGTGGGAGAATTAATGAAGGTATGGATCATGTTCAAAACAGAGTATGTCTACTCTATTGCATTGATCTACTTTTCTATTTCTTAGCTAGTACTAGACAGTTTCGATAATTACTGCCTTATAATATAATTTAAGATCTGGAACTGCTAAACCTCCTTCCTTTACATTTTTTCATTATTTCCTTTGATATTCTTGGCATTTTGTTTTTCCAAATGAATTTTGTTACTGTTTTTTCTAATTCAGTAAAATATTTTTGGTAATTTAAATGAGATGGCTTTGAGTATATAAATTAGTTTGGGTAAAATTGTTGTTTTTATTATATTGGCCCTGCTTGCCCATGAACAATTAATATTTCTACAATTATTTAAATCTGACTTTATTTGCATAAAAAGTTTTTCTTTTTAATTTTGTTTATATAGTTCCCGAGTTTGTTTTGGCAGGTGTACTCCCAGGTATTTCATACTGGCTAGAGTTATCTTAAGTGGGGTATTTTTTACTATTCATTCTTGCAGAGTTTTGTTTGTGATATATAGGAATGCTGATGATTTATGTGGATTTACTTTATATCCTGCTACTTTGCTAAAATTATCATTGTTTCAACTAACTCTTTAGTTGAGTCTTTGGAATTGTGATGGGATGCAATTGTGCTATAAGAAATGATGAGCTCAATGATTTTAGAAAAACATGGAAAGACTTGCACAAATAATGAAGAACAAAATGAGCAGAACCAAGAGAATGTTTTATACAGTAACAGCAATATTGTTTTAAGAACAACTTTGAGGAAATAATGTTATTTTGTCTATTATAAATACCCAAATTAAATATAAAGGACATATGAAGAAAGACATTATCTGCCTCCAGAGAAAGAACTAATAAATAGAAATATGTATAGAATGATTTTATATATGTATATATATTTGTGTCTAATATTAGTCATCTCTGGGGGAAGGGAAGAAAAAAAGGAAAAAAAATAAATTTACATAATAATTTTATTGTATATCTTAAAGGAATAGTAAGTTGTGCATAGCAGATTTGCAGCTTCATGCATAATCATCTTTTTATTGTACTATGTTATGAAATGTTTGTTTTATTCCGTACATTAAAAATAAAATAAATGTTTTTAAAAGGTGATTGATAACTGAGTCAAAAGGATGGACTCTCAATGGAAGGGGTCTCCTTCCTGCCCCTATTCTACATAATAAGACAAAAACCTAGAAGGGTTGATATATAATGTCAAGAGTTGATGCAGAAGATATTAAAAAGGCAGAATGAAATGCATTTTATCTGGGCAAGAGAGGGCATTCCTGTCCATCTATTAGTCACTCAAACCTCTGAATTTTTAAGGTATCTTTGACTCATATGCCATCTGCCTGATTATATTCATGGTATTGAAAAGGGATACTAGAGAGTATAGGCCTAATCATAGGACTGCATTGAAAGAAGAAGCTCTTGTTATGTGGCCCGTATTCACTGAGGCGGGCAGTGTGGCATAGACAGCTGGCCTCAGAGTCGGAGGTCCTTGGTTTAAATTTTGCCTCTGACGTACTAATTGTGTGACTCTGGACAAGGCAACTCACTGCTCTCAGGCAACTGTAAGAGGCTGTAATTTGCAGAGAAGATGTCAACCTGTATGGGTAGAGGAAGTTTCTTCCCGGGGAATTCTATATCCATGGAAATCACA